GACCGCAGCTGCCTGGACCCTTTCACCAGCCGCCGGAGCCTGCAGGCGCTGGCCTGCCACGCCGGACTCTCCGCCTGCGAGGGGCCCGGCCTGGAGCCCCCAGACATGGACGTGGTGCTGGAGGCCCTCAAGTGCCTGTGCAACCTCGTGCTCAGCAGCCCTGGGGCGCAGGTGCTGGCGGCCGAGGCCCGCCTGGCGGTGAAGCTCGCCGAGCGCGTGGGGCGGCACCGGGAGAGGAGCTTCCCGCACGACGTCCAGTTTTTCGACCTGAGACTCCTCTTTCTGCTGACGGCTCTCCGCACGGACGTGCGCCAGCAGCTGTTTCGGGAGCTGAACGGAGTGCGCCTGCTGACGGACACGCTGGAGCTGACGCTGGGGGCGACTCCTGAAGAGAGGGCGCCCGAGCTCCTTCCTCCCCAGGAGACCGAGCGCGCCATGGAGACCCTCAAAGTGCTCTTCAACATCACCTTGGACTCCGTCAAGAGGGAAGCGGATGAGGTGAGGGCTGAGCCGACGCCGCAGGAAGGGCTCTGGACTCAGCTCCGACGTGTCCCCGACCTGCCTCCCACCCGGTCCCTTCGGTTTCTGTTGCCCGCTGCCACGAGGACAGGACCTCCCAAGCCAAGGAGATGCCTGTTCTGGGCAGTGGTCTCCAGGAAGGTTTCTGGGGGAAGTGGAGCCGCTTTTGGCCTCCGTGCCTGGCAGGAGGACTGTGAGGTGTGGGAGGAGATGGTAGGAGATCCCCCCAGGAGGCCGTGAGTGTGGGGCCAGGTCACAGAGCATGACTTCACTTCAAGTCGGTCGGTGTTCTTAGTCGGGGAGGTCCTCTGGGAATAGCAGTCCTGGAGTTCTTAGGAAAACAGCAGTGCTGTTTTGTAGCCTCAGCATGGGCCAGGGTCACCTGGGAGAGTCTGGGAGCTCGACACGCAGTAGACAAGGGGCACAGTCAGTGCCTCACGGTCCTGGAGGGCCACATAAGGCAGAGGTCCCTGGCTGCAGGATGAGTGGACTCCCCCTCACGAAGTCCCTTTCTCTTTGGCAGGAAGACGCTGCCTTGTACCGGCATCTGGGGACCCTTCTACGGCACTGTGTGATGATTGCTGCTGCTGGAGACCGCACGGAGGAATTCCATGGGTGAGGGAAGGGCCTGTTCTGGGAGGGAAGCGTGCCCAGGTGTCCAGACTGCTGTCCCCAGTCCTGGCTGTGGACCAGAACCACTGGGAGCTTAGGCGCCACCCTAGGGAGTCTGACTGCTTGGCTGGAACTGGGCATCACCATTCCCAGAGAATGCTGGGTGCTTCTAATGTGTAGCTAAGACAAGAACCGTGCGTTTGGGGGCAGGAACGTACTCCCTGGACCTTGGGAAGTGCTGATAGATGTCATGGTATTTGCAGGGTTCCTTGGTCCCTTGCCCCTTTGCCCTTATTCATAGCTGGTCTGGGTTTCCAGAGATGGTCTGGTGCGTTGGCCCAGACAGAGTGGAGCAGGCAGGGTGCCTCAGAGAGCTCCCACCCCCAGGCACACCCCACCACACACCTGAGAGGCATTGCTGAGCTCAGTCCCCACCCTTGGCTTTGGTCTCTAGTGCTGCTCCTGAAGCCCCAGACACTAGCTACCGTAATGTGTGGTCCCGGCAAGGGGCACCAAGGAGTGCACGTGTGCTGGGAGATGAGCCCTGTCGAGAATCAAGACCCCTCCCCCATCTGTCTGCAGCCACACAGTGAACCTTCTGGGGAACTTGCCCCTCAACTGTCTGGATGTTCTCCTCACCCTGGAGCCGCACAAAGGATCCTTGGAGTTCATGGGAGTGAACATGGATGTGATCCATGCCCTCCTCGTCTTCCTAGAGAAGCGTCTGCACCAGGTAGGCCCGGGCAACTGCCGTGCAGGGCCCCCGCCCCAGTGGCTCCGGCTCTGCTGCACAGCTGGGGCCACTGCTTCCACACCCACCCGCTGGTAGGCGGCGGTCGCCTTGGTGCCATGCAGGCAGGTCCCGCAGCTTCTGTGGCCCCACCAGGCAGGAAGGCAGACCCCTCCTCCCCAAGAAGCATGTGGACCCCCTTACCCCCGCTTGAAGGTCTCATTTCTGCCGATCGCTCTGAGGAAATGAGTTGTCCAGGGTCTTTTGTTAGTTCTCTGTGTGGGTCCTTCTCGAGTGGTCCTGAGAAGCCTCCCAGTCCTGCTCTCGGCTCTTAGACACAGGCAGCCCTTGATGACAGGCGTGGCCGTCTCTCCGCATCCTGAGGAGACCCCCAGAGCCTCCAACCGGAGCTTCCCTCTGAGTCCTGCGTCCAGACAGCCGGCGCTCTGCCCAGCCTCTGGGAGCTTGTGGACACGTGGCAGACTAGGGCGTGGCAGGCTTCTCGGGCATCCCCTGCCTGGGCAAGGACGCTCATGGTGCCCGAGTGCCGGCCAGGGCAGGGAGCAGGGAGCAGCGGCTGCACAGGCTTCTGTCCCTGCTGCTACCGCCGCTAACGCTGGGGTCCGGGAGGCAATGGGAGGGACAGGAACCTCACGCTGTCTGCGAAGTCCAGGTTCTGCTCTAGTTTTCTTTGTTGTTTGTGTTTTCTGAGTCAGGGTCTCATTGTGTCACTCAGGCTGGAATGCAGTGTCACAATCGCGGCTCACCGCAGCCTCGACCTGGGCTCAGGCAGTCTTCCTCCTCCGCCTCCCAAATAACTGGAACTGTCCCACCACGCCTGACTAAATTTTCCTCAACTTCTGGTGGAGACAAGGTCTCGCTGTGTTGCTCAGGCGGGGCTGTTCTTGCTTCTTTTTGTCACCATTATCGAGGGCCATACGTGTGTGCCAGGGTGTTCGAAGGGCACAAGTGCCTTGTGTTTCCTTCACAACCCTGGTTATAACTGAGGAAAGGAGACTCGAAGCCGCCATTGCCCAGGGAAGGGAGTGTGGAGAATGCATTAGCAGCGTGCTCCAGAACAGGAGGACCTCTTCTCAGCCCCAAGTCACAAAGCTTACAAGAAGCTTCCTGGGTTAGGTCCGACCCGCATTCCTTTCAAAGCTGACACAGATTCCTGCCACCTACTCCCGGCCCTTGACCAACTGCAGCAGGGTCTCTTTCCAAGCCTGGGCCACTAGGGCAGCTGGTGGGGGGGAGGACACACACAGCCCCGCCACCAACCTCCAGCTGGTGAGTCCCAGCCCCAGTGACACAGGCTCCTCTGCAGACTCACAGGCTGAAGGAGAGCGTGGCTCCCGTGCTGAGTGTGCTGACAGAGTGTGCCCGGATGCACCGCCCGGCTAGAAAGTTCCTGAAGGCCCAGGTACGGGGCTGGCGCGCCCGGTGGTCAGGGCCGGGTCCTGGTCTCGGCCCCGGCTACTCCAAGCCCAGCTGAGAGCGGCTGCCTCCCCAGGTGCTGCCCCCTCTGCGGGACGTGCGGACCCGGCCTGAGGTTGGGGAGCTGCTGCGGAACAAGCTGGTCCGCCTCATGACCAGCCTGGACACGGACGTGAAGAGGGTGGCGGCTGAGTTCCTGTTTGTCCTGTGCTCAGAGAGCGGTGAGCAGGGGAGCCCGGGCCCAGCCGCCTGCCCGCCCCGGCCACGCTCATGCTGACCTCTGTCTGCTCCGGTCCTCAGTGTCCCGCTTCATCAAGTACACGGGCTACGGGAACGCGGCTGGCCTCTTGGCCGCCCGGGGCCTTGTGGCGGGCAGCCGGCCCGAGGGCCAGTACTCGGAGGATGAGGATACGGACACGGACGAGTACAAGGAAGCCAAGGCCAGGTGTGTGTCCCCAGCACACACTCGGGGCTCCTCGTCCCTGAGTCCCTGCCTCCGCAGCTGCCTGGGACCCGTGGGGTGGGCAGGACCTCCCGGAATTGTTGAGGCACTTGTTTCTAAGTGGCATGTGGCCTGGTGTCCAGGTGTGTCGTTCTGAGAGCAAGGAGATGAAAGGCCCGGGACGCTGGGGCGCCGGGAGGCAGTCAGGTGGCCGGAGCTGGTCAGCTGCTGTCCCTGGAGGGAGCTCTCTGCGCAGCTGCCTTGCTCCTTGCCCTGCTGGGAAAATGGGTTCCTGCCAGCCAGGCAGGAGCGGGAAGGTGGGGCCGCCCCCACTCACACGGGCCCTCCTGTTACGGGGCGCTCCCCAAACACGTGCTCCACCCTCCCTTCCCTGGGAAGCAGCATAAACCCGGTGACCGGGAGAGTGGAGGAAAAGCCGCCCAACCCCATGGACGGCATGACGGAGGAGCAGAAGGAGCACGAGGCCATGAAGCTGGTGCACATGTTCGACCGGCTCTCCAGGTATGTGGCAGGGTGAGGAGGGACCTGCGGCCGTGCTGGGAGAGGGGACCCCAGGAGGCGGGCCAGAGGAGGGCTTGGGATTTTCCAGGCTGCAGTGGTGAGGTCTGAAGTCACGTGCCCTGGAGAACCTCCCCCGGGGATGGTTGGAAGTGGGGCAGCGTTGCATCTGCATTACGGACAATAGACAACGCCGAGAAACTAAGACGACCTGGTGTCTTAGAGCCCCAAGGTAGCAGTTAGGATTTGGGCCAGGTTCCACGAGACCCTACCCAGTCTCCCCTAGTAGCGGGCTCAGCCTGCTGGGTGGAGAGGAAGACCACGGCCAGGGGTGAGCAAGCCCCCTGTCTGGCACACCAGGACCCTCCCACGGCCCTTTTCCCCCCCAGGCACAGAGTCATCCAGCCCATGGGCATGAGTCCCCGGGGCCATCTCACGTCCCTGCAGGATGCCATGTGCGAGACCGTGGAGGGGCAGCTCTCCTCGGACCCCGACTCGGACCCCGACTGAGGAAAGCAGCCCTTCTCCCCCATCAGAACTGGTGCTGCTTGCAGAGACTTCTTGGGCCTGCGACCTGGGAAAGCTACATCCCGCTGGCCCCACACTCCCCCCATCTTGGAGACCCTTCCTCTCGACTCCCAAAGTCCTGTTCCTGATTTGCCTCTGGTCCAGTTTCTTATTTCCAGGACTGCAGTGGTCTCCAGTCACGCTGGAAACTCAGCCTTGACTTCCACAGATGAAGTGCTTTCTTGTGTGTGTGCAGAGGCTGCTGCCCAAGAGCAGGGCCTCCTTGGCCCACACGAGAGCATGCACGTGGGAGGGTAGGGGCTGGCGTGGGTGCACACCGGCCGCACATCTGGGCTTGGCACGCTGGCCCAGGTCCTGAGCGTTAGGGCATGTGCCGCATGTCAGGGGAAAGGGCCTGCGGGACCCTTACAGGCGAGGCTCCAGACACGCGCCCAGGTGTGCGCTGACCTCTCACTGCTCCCCGCTGAGGAGCCAGCCAGTGGCTCTTCTGCGTCCTGCCGGGTCTGGGCCCCGCTGCCTGCAGAGTTTCCACAGTGCCCAAGTCCTCACCATTTGTGGCAGTTGAACCTCAACCCTTCCCACTGGTTTAGACTGACTGCAGACTACTTACATGAGGGAAAGAGCCCCTCCATATGACTGAATGGAGACATCTGTCACGTACCACAGTAGCCACAGAAGCACCCGGGAATAAAGAAGTTTCAGGCAAGAGTGTGCATGTGTGAGTTTTTGTGTAAAATATGCAGGGAAGGAGCACTAAGCAGAAACAAACGTGCCTTTTTTTTTTTTTTTTGAGTTAGAGTCTCACTGTCGCCCAGACTGGAGTGCAGCGGCCGCTCCCGGCCACCGCAGCCTCGACCTGCTGGGCTCCGGTGAGCCTTCCGCCTCAGCCTTCCGAGGAGCCGGAACTATAGGTGCGCGCCACCACACCCGGCTAATTTTTTGATGTATTGTAGAGATGAGGTCTCGCTGCCCAGGCGGGTCTCGAACCTGCGGGCTCAGGCAATCCACTCACCTCAGCCTCCCAAGGCGCGGGATCACAGGCTGAGCCACCAAGCCCGACGTGCCCTTTCTAAAAACGCAACACTCTCCTGGGCACCAGTCCTGTCTTTGGTCTTCAATGCAGAGCATCTCCGCACTCCCTCCCGCGAGTTTGATCAGTTGAATCTGTTCCCGTCGGCGCCATCCCCAGGCAGGCACGGGTCGGGGACAGGAAGTGTCCTTGCCCAGGAGACACGCCGCCGCCGTGACACAATGCTAGGAAGGAGAACGCGCACGGTGGGAGCTGCGGTGGAGCGGCCAGTGCCTGGAGGGGTCTGCTGTGGGAGCTGGGGCTCGGTGCAGCCCAGAGGGGCCCGTGCGGAAGTATGAGCTCAGTGGGGTCCGCCCCATACCACAGTCCAGTAGGTGGCTAGGCATCAGCCTGGGTTTTGAGGGAGCAACGCCTTCCGTGTCTGAGGCCGGCTCCAGTGGTGTCGTTGGAGGGAGTCCTGGTGGGGGAAGGTGTGGGACAAGGCCAATTAGACTGCTGGGATGTCCTGGAACAGAACAGTTTCTGGAAGAGACCGAGTACCGAGTCAACAGGATGTGATGACCAGCAGCAGAGCTCAGACGGAAGAGGAGGTCCTGGGCCATCTCTAGGGTAAGTCCAGGGACAGGTGTCCTCAGACTCCCAGTAGAGGGACACCAGGTACCCCAGGGTTCCCTTTCCACATTTGCAATCCACTTTGGGAGACTAACATTTATTTCATGCCAGAAATAAAAGGCAGACTTTCTGTAATTAAAATTAACCCTATGTTGGACACCGTGGCTCACACCTGTAATCCAGCACTTGGGGAGGCAGAGGAGAGAGGACTGCCTGAGTCCAGGGGTTCAAGGCCAACCTGGGCAACTTGGCAAGACCTCATCTCTATAATAAACCAAAAAAGCTAGCTGTATGTGGTGGTGCACACCTGTAATTCCGGCTACCTGGAAGGCTAAGGCGGAAGGATTGCCTGAGCCCAGCAGGTCAAGGCTGCTGTAGCTGTGAGCGTGCCACTGCACTCCAGCCTGGGGGACGGAGTGAGACTCCAACTCAAAAAAAACAAAATAACCCTAACTAAAGGAGACTACCATGCTGTACTAGAAGGCCCTAGTGTATCACCAGGGCCCTAGGACTACACCTGGGGACGCGACGGGGGGTGCTCAGCTGAAGCCCAGGTCTTCCAACAGAGATGCCAAGCGCGCCCTTCAGACGGGCCTGGGCACAGTAAGAGCAGATCTGGCCCGGGGGTCTAGTCATTCAGTTCAAGAGGCACATTGTCAGAAGCAACTTTTTGCATTCAGAGCCTCAGCAAAGCAAACAGTTAAGAACAACAGACAGGCGGCTCCTTTGTATCTGTGACTGGGGTGGCCCTGAGTAAACAGCCCTACAGTGAGCATCTCACAGCCTGGGAAAACATTCCAGTGGCAGCCTCAGATGTCCGCTCTATTCCTCAGTTCTGGTGGGACCAGAGTGTGTAGACCTGCCCAAGCTGTCCGCAGGCATGAGGTCTCATCAGAAATAGAGTGCAGATCTCGCCCATGTTGTCATTTCTTGTACGTGAGGCAGCCATCGCCCTCCTATTTGTCCCGTCCATGGAGCTGGAACACAAAGGATAGAGGATGTCAGTTGTCTGTTTACCTACCCAGGCAGGCCAGCAGATCCCAGGGCCTGTTCAAATAGTTCTAGTGGAAGATGAGCAAAGTCTTTCCCAAGCCAAGCTTCCCTCTTTGCCAATGCTGCTGCTGGGTCAAGTTAAGATAATCCTGCAGGCCTGGGCAGAACAGGGTGGCTAAAGGGAAAGCCTCGTTCGAAGGAGCCTCTAAGTCCCTAATGAATGTCCACTGATGCCCACATGCTTAAAAGCAGTAACTATTTGGAAAAGTAACCTCGTGGATAGACATTCAAAAAAAAACCCCAGCTGGGCATGGCATCTCATGCCTGTAATCCCAGCATTCTGGGAGGAAAAAGTGGGAGGATTGCTTGAGCCCAGGCGTTCAAGATGAACCTGGACAATATAGTAAGATCTTGTTACTACAGAAAACTAGCAACATGGTGGTGTGCACCTGTAGTCGGGAGGCTGAGGTGGGAGGTCGAGGCTGCAGTGAGCCATGATCGTGCCATGCCTCCCTGCCATGGGCAACAGATCCCAACTACAAACCAATAACCCTGAACTTACAACCCTTCTTATGTAAGTTTCTGTAACCCTGTGAAGCTAGAAGATAATACAAGTAAATCCTATAGGGCTGCTTCCAGAAATCCATCAGGGTTACCCGAGTTACAGTCTGCCTTCAGAGCAAGTCAGGACAGGAGAAAGCTCCCTCACAAGCTTGCAGGGCTGATCTGACCAAGGTCTCTGCTGCCCGTGAGCCAGTCAAGAGGCACCTGCCTCTCAGTGTGTAAAGTTTAAGCTTCCGAGTCAGCTGGGTGCCCTGCTTCCGTAATGAAGTGACCAAGCAATATGACGGTAACATCTGATAGCATTTATTTCCCTCTATATGTGAGATTTTTGGCACCAGCCTACATCTTAGCCCGAAGAGCCAAACTCTGAAATGAAAGGCTAAAAAACTAACAGCAGTGATGCCGAGTACGTGTGGATTCTCTTTGGCTCGGTCTTGGTAGGAAACCGGGCTGCAACCAGAGGGTGGGGGCTTCTGCGGCAGAGGTGAGAGGAGGGGCCAACCCTGCAGCCCCGAGGCGCGATGAGACACAGCCGTGAACAAGGAGAAAGGGCTGCGAGTTCCCACACAGCTGCCCTGAGGAACTACAGGGACATCCACGGCGGTCTGTTCTGGTGGAATCCCTTTTGGGAAGCGTCAAGCCTGCCTGTAATCATAAAACTGGACTTTAAATGCCAATGCTGCCGCCGCCTGAAAACAACCCTGAATTATCGAGGCTACACGTGCTAGAGGATCCTCACAGAAAGCTGCGTTTCCTGTAACTTCACTTCACAGGAGTTTGAAGTCTCCTGGAAAAGGGTCAGGGCTCTCGGGCTCTGCCCGCAGCGGGTGGTAACAGGTCACCGGCTCTCACGCCGCCTCCGAGAGCATCAGCAGTGCAGGCGCAGAGAACTTCGGCGCCCACAGCCCTGCAGCCCGCATCGCCTCCGAGCCCCGGCCAGCCTCGGCTGCTTGACCTCGGCAAGCAAGGGCAAGCGCCCGCGGGGGGCGGGGACGCCACGGCCCGTCGGCCGTCAGCTG